CAAACTGCCAAATCTGCTCTGTTGGACTGGCCTGACTGCCAGACGGTTAGTATCAACTTAGTGTCTGGCTTCTATGAAAATCTAATTATGTTTGTGACTGCTGTCTGTGCGCTGAGACAGGGCGGGGCTGGAGCTCCTGCCACCCACAAGGCCATGTTTGTATTGAGTTTACAGCTGTCCCACGTGGAGACCTGCCAAGTGGGTTACCAGGTGTTTCCCCACATTGAGGGAACCATCATGTGAGCTGCTCTTGCATACCTTCTGGTGGCTGTCCTGAGGACTGCACATGAAGAGAGCGAGAGCAAGTGATTTGTGTGGGAGCTGGGGTGTAAAGATAATAATAATCCTTGCATTTGATATAGCGGCTTATCACATCTTCAAGATGTCTCAAAGCGCTTCACAGGATACACTGTAAAGTGAATTGACTGTATATTTTGTGGGCAAACCGCAGCACAATCTAATACAATGACAGACCAGGCCGTCTCCCATCTGTCCGTGGCTGCCTGCTGCTGTCCTATTCCTACCAACTGCATGTGCAGCGAAACACAACATAACAATTTGCTGGCGAAAGAATACCAACGTCCATCCAGTTTGCCTTTCACCATCTTGACAGTCGCTTATCATTACTGTATCCCCAGACATTATTTCCTAACAGAAATCTATCTCATTTGTTCTTGAAACAATCAACACTTTCTGTTTCCACCGTCTGTCTCCCTCCCTCAGGAGTCTGTTCCATACCTTTACTAATCGCTTTCTCATTGAAGTAATGTTTCCCCAGATTTGTTCTGAATTTACCCCCTTCAATCACAGGCCGTGTCCTCTAGTTCTACTGTTCAGTACACGATAAAACAGCTGATCATGGTCTGCATTATCTATTATTATTATTATACAACCTTCTGGTCTTTGTAACTTAATTCTATACCAGCCTTTACCTTTACCCAGTCACTTTACTGCTTTTAATTGTGAGTTCAGTGATTCTGGGTTTGTCGATTCTGGGATATATTTAGTTTTTTTCACAAAGTAATTGTGTGACATGTTATATGTTGAGCAATACAATCTAATGGTATCAGTAGCAGAGCTTGTGAAGGAGAGCCCCATATAAATAATAATTGTTGTTTTATAAATAATAATTGTTGCATTTGATACAGCCCCTCATCACGTCGTTGAGAAATCTCAAAGCGCTTCACAGATTATATTATGATAATAATAATAATAATAATAATAATCCTTGCATTTGATATAGTGCTTTTCACTTCGGGAGGACGTCCCAAAGCGCTTCACAGAACACACTGTAAAGTGAATTGACTGTATATTTGTGGGCGAACGTGGCAGCCAATTGCGCACAGCAATGTTGCACAAACAGTCGAAGATTGAAAATGACCAATTTATTGTTGTTTTTGGTTTTGGAGGGAATATTATTAGGCTCTGTGTGGAGTAAGGAAACTTGCCCGAGGTTTCGCCCTCTGCCTGGAATTGAACTCAGGTTTCTCACTTGCAAAGCGAGTGCTCTAACCACTGAGCTACAGGACTCCACAAATTGTAAAGTGAATTGACTGTATATTTTGTGGGCGAAACACGGCAGCAAATTGTGCCCAGCAGCGTCTCACAAACAGTCGTGGATTGAGTGACCAATTTTTTTTTGAGGGATTATTACCCCCAGAAAGCGATCCGCCAATTGACAAACAACTGGGTTCCCACTCACTGCTCGGTAAACAGAGGGGCGTGGAGTAAGGAAACTTGCCCTTCCCGGGAATCAAACCCAGATCGTCTCCCTTGCGAGTGAGTGCTCTAACCACCATGCCATGGGACTCAGTTTTATGGGATGAAGGAAGGGAGTTGGATCATTAATATGAACAGCACTACGATTAAATCACAAAAATAAAATGTAAAAACTGGTCAGGGATGCTATTAGAACTGGACTTGGGGTCATGTTTTGTCGAGTCAGGTATTGGACAATTTCATACGGACAAGCATGAAGAATTTGCAGCTCAGAGAGAACCTAATAGAGGCCTTGTTTGTACCATAGACTGTATACAATTTGCTTGATGGTGGTCTATTTATTTAATCTACTCGGGGAGGTGACTCACCACAAGTAAAATTTCCAACAAGTTAAAGCTCTTGTTAGAGCACTCGCCTTGAAAGCGAGGGACCTGAGTTCAGTTCCAGGCAGGGCAAAACTTTGGGCAAGTTTCCTTACTCCACACACCTAATAATAATCCCTCCAAAACCAAAAACAATAATAAATTAGTCATTTTCAATCCACGACTGTTTGTGGAACGCTGCTGTGCGCAATTGGCTGCCGCGTTTCGCCCACAAATATACAGTCAATTCACTTTACAGTATATTCTGTGAAGCACTTTGAGACGTCGAGAAGGCGTGAAAAGCGCTATATCAAATGCAAGGATTATTATTATTATTATTGTTTGCTGGATGCCCTGAAGTACCTCAGCCATTACGATCGATATCACAGAGCTTCGAGCTCTGGTTGCTTTTCTTTCTACAAATGACATTTTCGTGGTCCCAACAACATACAAATGTGTGTCCAGTGCAGTATTTAACGATTTACATCTGCTCTTGCTCTACACAGGTCCATCCTGTTCCCTTCCAGATGTTGATCAGCTTCTCTCTCGTGCTGAGCAGTAATGGTAGTAATGGTATCTGCCTCCCCCGCTCCAACCCCCGCTTCAACCTGGGTCCAGTACATTGAGACATTTCAATGCACTTTACTGTACTCTACTAATTTACTGTAAAGTGGAGTGACTGAGCATTTGGTAGGCGAATGCAGCACTAAATTTGTGCACAGCAATATCCCACAAACAGCCATGGAGCAAGTGGGCAATATTATTTTGGGAATTGTTGTCCAGGACACCGGGAGAGAGAGAGAAACTCCTTCTCTTTTCCAATAGCCCCGCGGGATCTTTACCATCCACCGAACAGGCAGACGGGACCTCGGTTTAACGTCTCCTCCCGAGGACGGCACCTCCCACAATGCAGTGCTCCGCGGTGTAATGGTTGGTCAGTCTGGTCTGTGAGCTCAAAGTCTCAATAGAGTGAAGATGAACAACAACAACAAAATTCCATGTGTAAAGCGCCTTTCAAATTGGGAGGACATCCGAAGGCGCTGAACAGTTAGTGTTTTGGACCCGACCTGGGGGTTGGGGTCGGGGAGGGCAGGGGGGGAAGCAGGGAGATCAAAAGCACGGTTGAAGAGGAGGGACTTGAGATGGGGCTTGAAGGTGGCGAGGGAGGGGGCGAGGGAGGGGGCGAAGCGGAGGGACTGCGGGAAGGAGTTCCAGAGAGTGGGGGCAGAGTGGCAGAAGGTCCGCCTGCCAATGTTGGGGTGAGCGAGGCGGGGGACGTGAAGCAGGCCAGAGCCCTTTGTAATTGATTACAAAGGAAAATAAAAATAGAATCTAAGAGATCTGCCAAAAAAACCTGTTTGAATATAAGAAAAAACTCATTTGTGCTGTTCTGTATTCCTGAATTAATCCATTTCTCCAGATATTTGGATATAGTATTATTATTATTACGTGTAGAGGCGTTTGTTTAAGTACTTCAGAGAGAAGATAAAACACTGTGACAATATTGGGTGGTCTCCAGGATCTGCATTTGACTTCTGGAGTTTTTTCTTGTAGCTGAAACCCTGTAGGAAATCTGAGGGTGTTTCACTGACTGCTAACAGTGCTAGTGAGGATGAGAATGCAGTCAAGCCTCCGGGGTGATGGCAATGCCAGTCTCCTTGTGAAACGGGTGAGCACTAATTTCCCAGCGTAACTATGACTTGCTTTTAAAATGTAAGTTTTCAGCCCTAAACAGGGCATGTCTAAGCAGCAGCAAAAAGTCAGGCTCTGCCACTGTTAAGCGCTCTGAGACACTACCCTGCATGGAGGGCCCTATATAAGTGCAAGTTGTTGTTGTGGTTGTAAATAGTATAGTTATATGCGATCAGAGTCTACAGCTGCTGCTGTCCATGTTTGAAAATCTGGCAAATGGATTTATTCCTATTACAATGTGAAGATCAAGGCCAACAGGAGCTTTTCTTTTCAGTCAGTGAGGCAAACGGCGGAGCTGGTTGATTGTGTCTGATCAGGCTGTTAGTCTAACATACCAACACCCCTTACTGTATTTGTTGTTTCCTTTGTAGTGGGCTGGCTGTCGAGCTCCAGTTGAAATGTCTGTCTCTTTTCCTGTACGTTTAAATTTAATAAACAACTGGCAGAAAAACTTCTTTGTCGAGCCGGACAGATTTAGCCACAAGAGTTATCTATTTCCACGGCACAACCAACATCCTGCCACACTGCATGTTCTCTTCCACTGATGTCAACTGATAATTGGTAGCCAGAGTCTCCAGTCTCAGCCACAATGTTTATAGTCACCACCTGGTGCTTGTGATATTCTGCAGCAAATGCAGACATCGGGAAGTTGCACACACTCGGTCTGAGGTTTGCTTCACTCCAGACGGCATTGTGTATAGCATGCTCTGAGTGCAGTTGTGTGTGCACATATGTGTGCATGTGTACACTGGTGTATAGCAATCTCTGAGTGCAGCTGTGTGTGTGTTTGTTTAATCATCTCTTAATTGCACACCTCGATTATGCAGCGTGAGCCGGTGAATTTCACCACAATGAAGGTTGCACAGTCAGACGGTGAGATTTGGGCAGAAGGTAGCTGTGAATCTTCAACTGTTGTGATATGAATTTTAAAAGCCTTTGAATTTATTTATACACAGGTTTGCTTCAATGTTTTATTGATAACCAGATCGGCCAAAATCTGGAGATTGCTGAACTTTGCTAACAAAATATACAGTCAATTCACTTTACAGTATATTCTGTGAATCGCTTTGAGACATCTCAAACACCTGATAAGGTGCTTTATAAAATGTAGAATTATTATAATATACCTGTCAAATGTCGAGAGCAGTTGTTTTTAAGAGAATGTGGCTAATTTAACTATAACCGCTCATAAAAGTTTTAAACAGTGGCTTATTTTTGTCATTTCAGCTGATCAGGAGTTTGTCAAGATAATCATCATTGTTGTGGTAATGACCATCATGGTAGTTGTGATCATCTGTTTGCTGAACCACTACAAACTGTTAACACGATCCTTTGTAAACCGACAAAGTCAAGGCAGAAGACAAGAGGAAGCTTTGCAGCCAGTAAGTCCATTCCTCTGAACTTAAGAGAAACATTATTAAAAGCATTATTTCCTTTTCCAGAAAAGTGCACAAATCTGCTGAGTTCCACTGTATGTGATAGAGCATTTCAGGAGCTATTTCCTTAATCAAGCTGTTGGAGAATCTCTCACACTTACTAAAGTTGAATGCTACATTTCTTATATTTCTGCAGCCCATGGTTATGCCTAGAAGAATTTTATATGTTTTTTAAATGTGTCTCCGTATGACAATCGCAGTCCTTTTTGCCAAGTGTATAAAAGGAGAGATTTTAGCCGCCCAGGGGATGTGATCTTTGGTGGTTTCCCAGAGTAGCCGCATCCTGTTGAAGGTTTGTAAATTTACCAACAAGAGCAGAATAAATCCACCATTTTAGCTTCCAGTTTTGGTTTTGTTTCTGCAGCATTATTACATGACAGAAATTTCCCTTTACTTCAAGGGAGTTGGCGCTTCATGAAATGGCAGAATATGAGGCTCAATCTTTTATATCAAAAGTTTAATTTTGTTCTGAAACATTAGCATCAAGGCAGAGTTTTCCAGTTCATTCTGTTGAAACCACAAACTCATATCGAATTTGAAGAGCCGGTGAAATTGCAGGTTAAGGTTTACACCCAACTGGTTTAATGACATTTAACATATTAGATACCTGAAATTGGCATAAAGAACATAAAGTAAATGGTTGCAGGAAGCAGAACAGGTCCAGTAAAATGCTGATGTTGTGTGCAGTGATAGCGCCAGTAATAAAAAGTCCAGCTCAGTGAAATGTTTGATATGTTGCACTCTTAATTATTAACAAGGTCAGGAAAATGGTGCAGAGGAACTCGGCAATGGTTAAGTGGTAGAAGAAAGCATCAGGTTTGCTCACCCGACTCTCCTCTCTTCCTCTCCCTTTCCCAATCCCCCCATGATTAAGTTTGAAATAAAAGCTTTGCATTTGGTGATGGCTGAGTTACAGAAAGGCCGAGTTGGAGCAGATCATGTGTGGCTGATATCAGAGGCTCAGAGCAGGCAAGCTGCCTGTCCTCTTGCAGAGAGAGTATTGTGTGGCACAGGATAACAATTTACACTCATGTTGGGAAGACGTCTCAAAGCGTTTCACACTGACTGACAGAGTTCTCACTGGGGAGGTGAGGGTTGGGAGAGGTAGAGCTGAGGAAGGGAGGGGGAATTCTGTGTTATATCAAGAGTTATCAGGAACACTTGCGGAAATATTTACAAAAACGTGGAGGGAAGCTTGACAAATTTGGGTGGAAATTGCGAGTAGTTGGTTGGTGCTATTGACAGGTATATTTTACTGCTAACCAACATTTTTTCATTTTATTGATAATAACTAAACATGAAGAAATAACGCATCACAGATAGTTCCAAAACAAATAATATGAATTAATGTTTTAGATATTAAATGATTTCTATCACAAAAACTGGGTGAGCCACCAACGCAGGCCCGAAGGGCAGAATGGCCTCTCTCCACTCCCCCCTTCCACCTCATTTAAAGGGCTGGACATCTGCCTAACACCAGCCTTGCTCACCCTGTCCTGACTGTGGGGCTACAGGAGGTCACCACCTCCTGCCTCTTGGGGCTGCTACTGCACACAGACACCCAGAGAGACACGCACAGACACACACACACACAGATATGCACACACTCAGAGAGACACACACATATAATCATAGAATTGTACAGCACAAAAAGAGGCCATTGAGCCCATCGAGTCTGTGCGGCTCTTTGAATAGAGCAGTTAATGTCAATCCCACTCCCGGCCCTTTCCCCATAACCTGCAAACCCGTCCTCCTCAAATACCCGTCCACCGCGTTTTTAAAAGAAGTTATCGAATCGGCCTCGACCGCCCTTTCAGGCGATGCCTTCCAGATTCGAACAACTCTCTGCGTGAAAACATTTCTTCTCCCCTCGGCTTCTTTTAGAGACTATTTTGAATCTGTGATTTCGAGTCACCGACACACCCACCAGTGGGAACAGGTTTCTAACCGGTCAAATCCCCTCATGATATTGAAGACCTCTATCAGGTCCTCGTAACCTTCTCTGCTCCAATGAGAATAATCCCGGCCTCTCCAGCCTTTCCTCATCATCACGGTCCCTCATTCCTGGTACCATCCTCGTAAATCTCCTCTGTACCAATGCTTTAACATCCTTCCTATAGTGCGGTGCCCAGAACTGGGGCAGTATTCTAACTGAGGCCTAACCAGCGTTTTATATTGGTTAATCATAACCTCCTGACTCTTGTACTCTATGCCCCTATTTATAAAGCCCAGTGTCCCATTTGCCCTTTTTACAGCTTTATCTCCCTGTCCTGCCACCTTCAAGGATTCATTTACCTGCCCCCCAGGTCTCTCTGTTCCTTCACCCCCCTTAAGATTGTATTACCAGACTATATTGCCTTCCCCTCATTCTTTCTACCAAAATGCATTACTTCACATTTCTCCACATTGAAACTCATCTGCCATGTGTCGCCCATTGTACCATCTGTCTATGTCTTCCTGCAGTCGCTCCTATCCTTCTCACTGTTTACCCCCTCCCTAACTTTGTGTCGTCTGCAAACTTGGAAATGGTACTTCCTATACCCAAGTCCAGATCATTTATGTATATTAAGAAGAGCAGTGGTCCTAACACCAATCACTGGGGGACACCACTGTACACTTCCCTCCAGTCAGAAAAGCAGCCGTTCACCACAACTCTCTGCTTTCTGTCTCCCAGTGAGTTCTGGATCCGCTGCCACTGTCCCTTTTATACTGTGGGCTTCTATCTTTCTTACAAGTCTTTCATGTGGCACTTTGTCAAAGTTTTTAAAAGTCCATATAAACTACATCAACTGCACTACCTTTATCCACCCTCTCCGTTACCTCATCGAAAAATTCTATTAGATTTGTTAGACAAGATTTGCCTTTAACAAATCCGTGTGGCTGTCCCTAATTAACCCATATTCTTCTAAGTAAAGATTTATTCTGTCCCGGATTATAGTCTCCAGGAGTTTCCCCACTACTGATGTGAGGCTGACTGGCCTGGAGTTCCCAGGTTTGTCCTTCTGTCCCTTTTTGTACAGGGAGTCCCATTGGCCCCTCTCCAGTCCTCAGGCACCACTCCTGTGTCCAACAAAGATTGAGAAATTGTAGCCAAAGCCTCCGCTATTTGTACCGGTGCCTCCCATAGTAACCTCGGCTGCATCCCGTCCGGACCCGGGGGACTTATCACCTTCAGCGCAGTCAACCTGTTCAGTACTTCTGTTTATACTTATCCTATCCATTTCCTCTGCCCTCTCCTCCGATACTGCGGCATTTGGTGCTTCCACTTCTTTTGTGAAGACAGATGCAAAGTACTCATTCAGCACATCAGCCATGGCCTCTGCCTCCACAATAAGATTTCCCCCTTGGTCCTTAATTGGTCCCACCCTACCTTTGACTAACCTTTTTTTCTTGATATGTTTGTAAAATATTTTAGAACTCCCTTTAATGTTACCCGCTAACCTTTTTCGTATAATCTTTTTGCCTCTTATTTCCTTTTTCAGTTCTCTTCTGTACTTCCTATATTCTATTTGGTTGTCTTCTGTATCTTGGGTTTGACATTTTTCATACTCCTCCTTTTTCTGCGTCATTCTAGATACAATTACCTTCGTCATCCAGGGCGGTTTGGATGCCCTACTTCTCCTTTTGTGGGAATGTATTTGTTCTTGTTCCCGAGCTATCTCATCCTTGAAGACTTCCCACTGCTCTTTAGTTGTTTTACCTGCCAATCTTTCTTTCCAGTCCACCTTGGCTCGGTCCCCTTTTAACTCACTGAAATTTGCCTTCTTCCAGTTGAGTATCTTAATAATAATAATAATAATCTTTGCATTTGATATAGTGCTTTTCACGTCGGGAGGACGTCCCAAAGCGCTTCACAGAACACACTGTAAAGTGAATTGACTGTATATTTGTGGGCGAACGCGGCAGCCAATTGCGCACAGCAATGTCCCACAAACAGTCGTAGATTGAAAATGACCAATTTATTATTGTTTTTGGTTTTGGAGGGATTATTATTAGGCTCTGTGTGGAGTAAGGAAACTTACCCAAGGTTTGGCCCTGACCCCCCGGGGATTGAACTCTGGTCTCTCACTTGCAAAGCGAGTGCTTTAACCACTGAGCTACAGGACTCCACACCTTCACCTTAGATGGTTCCTTGTCTCTTTCCATATGGACTCTGAATCTAATGATGTTGTGATCACTATTGCCCAGATGCTCTCCCACTGAAACTTGCTCCACTTGCCATACTTCATTCCCCAGAACTAGATCCAGCACTGCTTCCGTCCTTGTTAGGCTGGAAATGTACTGATCAAGAGTGGTGCAGAGCTCTGGGGTTTCTTTTTATGGACCATTGGCACGAGTATTGGGGGGAAAAGAGAGCTCTTTCAGAGAAAAGGGCTGCATTTAAATCAGGCTGGGACAAATGTCCTAGCTAAACAAACTAATAGGGAGGTAAATAGGAATTTAAACTAGTAAAGAGGGGGTGAATATATAGGTAAGAGAAACCATAAGTTAGCATTAGAAAAAGTAATGGTAGGAAATTAAAAATGTTATATCTGAATGCGTGAAGCATTCGGAATAAAACTGATGAATTAAAAGCACAGATAGACACATATGGGTACGATCAAGTGGCCATCACTGAAACATGGTTACAAGGAGATCGAGGGGGAGTTAAATATTCCAGGGTTCTCAGTTTACAGGAAAGATAGGCACTGTGGGAAACGAGGTGGGTTTAATTAGGGATGAAATAAAAGCAGTGGAGAGAAAGGATCTGAAATCCGATGACCAGGAAGTAGAGACAATATGGGTGGAAATAAAAATAATAAAGGGCAGAAAATATTAATGGGAGTGATTTATAGACCCCCCAAACAGTGATCACAATAGCACAGGGTATCCATCAAGAAATCAGTGGAGCGTGTAGGAAAAGTAAAGCGATAATAGTGGGTGATTTCAATCTCCACATAGATTGG